AATTAGAATGTCGGCACGCTTATTTATAATACTTCTTTTGTTTCAAGACAGAGTGAACACAACGCTATGATGATATGAACAAATGAGATCTCTGACAAAACGCCATACAATAGGGTTACAATTTCCAAGGAAAGTAGTTTACCTGTTTACCAGCAAAATATCGACCATTAATGGACTGGTAGGCAAGAATAGCTGATTCCAGTGATCTGTAGTGTACGTACACATTGCCCTTCAAGTGGAGTGAGCCATTTCTACATACCTGAAATGGACATATAAATTTTCCTCTTGAGAATAGAAAGGCTATGAGGGAAGTTCAAAAGATAATACATATTCACCAACATGTTTTATTCTCAAACACGGGACCATGATGTTCCAATTGCTCATATAATGATATGGGATGCAGGGACCCACTAGTTTTCACAATGGATAGCCAAATGTGGCTTGCAGGTTTAGAACTAAAATTCAGGTATAAAACGAAGGCTGGCGGGAACGAGGGAGTATTAAAAGACAGACCTTGAAGTTAATAAGTTCTCCATACTTCAGGAACTCCGTATGAACATCTTCATAAAACTCTTCGTAACATTGTTCAGCTTCCTCATCTGTATACTGCAAGGAAGACGGGACAAAAAGACGGAGAGAGTAAACTACAGAAAGTGACTAAAGCAACAAACCAGGCGAGATAATATGCAGGTGAGGTCCATTAGCTTTCATATCAAACAAAACAGGATAGTTACAGCCTCACGAAGTTATAACTGCATCAGTCCTTTCCAGACACTACTACCCCAAAGCAGCCAGACCGCATGAAGGACACTATTATGTTCTTAATTCAGGAAAACAAAACCAAGCATTTATGACGCATTGAGCAGCGGAATCATTTATCCCATATCACCCACTCCCACAAGGAAATAAGAAGACACTCAAACCAAGAGAAATGAAACACTGACAAACAATAGGGAGACTTCATAACTTTTAGTAATCACTAACTACAAACACACAAGACACCAAGTTAAAGTAAGTTTGTCTATAGTATTTCTATGAAGGCAAGAAAGAGACACTAATACAAGGCAAAAATTGCGTGCAAAATCTATCAGTCAAGTAGGATACAAAGTGAACTGCAACTCCAACCTGGCCCAGGTTATAATCATGCACCTCCATAGAAGGAAATCCATCAATGTCTGATGGAAGTTAAAGAAGATGGTAACAACAATAAAGAAAGAATTCTGAAAATCTAAAGCACACAGCAAAAAAAAGAAAGGCAGAGGGATTGATAATTTTGATTCAGAAAACGAATAAGCCTAGAGTAGTAGAGAAGAATTAATTATTATCAGGATACAAGCATCAGGAGATGACAGCGGTTACAGACCTCAAGCCCCTCATCCTGTTCCCGAGCAATGCCAGGACCATTATACATGTTCTTCATAAGTATAGTGCACGATTTATCAGGGTAGAAATGAACTCTGCTGCAACGCGGGCCAAACCTACAAGCTCCAGTCTTCAAATGGAAAGGACAATGAGCTTTATCCTGGGCATTGAGAAAAAGAAAAAGAACTAAGCATATATTTACGAATAGGTAATAGAACAATACACAAAGATTGATACAACAATCACCTGCTCAGTTCCAAAGTTGGGTACTTCTTGTGCAACACTATCCAGAATCTGTTGAGCAGAGCTAACATTCTGATACTTTGACAAAGCTTCAGTTCCGGGAGGTAGAGGATTTGATGTAGGCCTATCACCAATCTTCAAAACAAACTCTACTTAAAACTCTAAAAGAAATCAAACTACACTCAAGACCGGTATGTTCACCTAGATAATAATAATCAAATACCTCATTTCCATCCACTTTAACTACTGATTTCTTTAGAACCTTCACTTTGTTCTTCCTGAGAATAATCTCATTACCCTTAAATATAATCTCTGGAGGCCCTTCTTCTATATATTCATAATCACCATCCTCATCATCATCTCTACTAGCCTGCAAAAAGAAACGTTATATACACATCAATCTCAAAATATTCAAATCCTCCATGAATAATTCAACAAAGCTATCAAAAAGAACTACCTCAAGCTTTCTCAACTCCTCTAACTCCTTCCAACGCCTCTCTTCCTCTTCCTCCTTCTTCCTCTTAATCTCCATAGCCTCTCTCCAAGCTCTCTCACTCTCCTCGAACTCTCTCAGCTCCTTCTCTCTCTTCCGCTCCTCCTCTTCCTCAATCGCCTTCAGCTTCTCCTGCTCAACCGGATCGTTTAACTTCGCTTCCGCCTCTTCTCTCTCTTTCGACGCTATCTCCTTCCTAATTTGCTTCCTCTTCGATTTCTTCATCGCTTTTCGCTTCTCCTTACGGCTCATCTCCGCTGCTTTCTCTTTACTCTCTTCCAACGCTCCCATCGCTTCTTCGAATCGCTCTCCTTCTTCTTCCGTTTCGTTCTGCGGCTCCATTATCACGATCGCGTTAACCTCCTCCTCTCTCACTCGGAGGTTGAAAGAGTCGGTTAGCCTAAACCGAAACCGAATAATGTAACCGAGGATCGAATAAAAGAATACCAAATGGAACCGGAATCAATATACGCTTGGATCAAACCATACCAAACCGGAGAACCCTAGTTGGTTATAATGTTACGTAGATTCCGTTCGACTGATTCGAATTTTTGGATTTTCGAAATAATGTCATAAATTTTATTCTGTTGTGAAATAAGAAGGTTTGTTGTAACTCTGTATATCTTATTCATCACGTGCACATACATATATATACATACAAGAGAATAAGCATATTCCTTAGGAGATAAGGATTACAATAAATAAGGGGATGATTATCCTAATCCTATAATGATTAGGATAACTACAACATATGGATAAACACAAGGGAGGATAGTGACTGATG